ACAGCGAGGTGAAGGAAAGGCCAAACACAGCAACGAACAAACCACCTAAAATGCTCACTCACTCTTGTTCCCTGTAAAAGCAAGAGATCTGACTTCACAACAAGCTTTTCTTTAGAAAATCACAACAAAATAGTGGCGTTCAGATTGTGACAGACTCGTGCACCGTGAATTCGAAATTCACAAATGGCCTCTGCAGAGTGCTCACGGATGAGATCTTTATTCGCGGATGTGGTTGGATTCAGACTAAGAAGAACTTTTTGCGGCAAAAGTGGGCGGAAAGTATATTCATGTGAAACAGTTCCGAATTAACGGCTCGATAACAGTCTCTTGCAGTAGCATTATCGTCGGCTTAGTGTATTGGGGTACTGGGGGAAGCTTTAGACAGCTGCGATCAGCGATCAACTCTTTGGTTAGCCTCGAGAAAGCTTGTGACAGTTTTCAAACGTGGTTGAAGATCTTTTAACGTGAATTTGTTAAAAACACTGGGTTGTACTAACTAAAATAATTTGCAGTTTTACCAGATGCCTGTTCCGCTTCATTAAATAGCATTGCCTGTGTGCTTGAAATTAAGTACAAATACAATTGGGTGGTGTCTAGTTCAACGTGAGTGAGTGTGCATTAGCTAAAAAAATAAAAATTCAACGTAAACAACACCCCCAGAAAAGCCTCATTTAGTCCAACTAGTCGGTACATCCTTGGACGAGCTTGAGCAAGAATAGCTTACACACTTGTACATATGATGCGTTTACCCGGTTTATGAAGCATATCCTGATAAGGTTTCAAAACAAAAACAAAGAATTTCAGTTTTACCTCTATTTTGGAGATTAGGACAATTACTCGATTGCTGCGCTAGTTATCGTGCATGTTTTTTTAGGTATGCAAGCAACAGACCATGTACTATAGTGCGAATAAACGTCACCGTAAATCGTGGTACCCAGTATGGTCGTCAGTTTCCAACATTTACCAAACGTTTTTTTGCATCCTCCGAAAAACTTGGCTCCGAAGATGCTTAAGCAACTTCTATGCAGAAAATTTCTTGGCAGGTATGCCGCATCTACACGAATCCATCAACATTTAAATGAAGTATCCCGACAACTTTTTGACGGAATCACCGTGTTTTTCTTATAGTGGCTTCAAAACAAAAGGGAAGAATAATTGGCCTACTCTCTATTGTTCGTCGCCCGTGGCCAAAACATCAGTCACGAGTCCCCTTCAGCGTAGGTTCAGATCTCCAGAGACTGTTCAAAAAATGACGTCGACAAACTCTGTCGATAGTATAAAGAAAAGCCGACTGTTTACAATTTAGCGCTTCTTTTATAAGTATTGAGGGTATTCAGGATACTTTCGTCAAGTACAGCTTGCTAAAACAAATGAGTGTATAGACAGTCTGTAAATGCCGACATAAGTGCATTATATTTTGTAAATATTCATACGGTACAAAAATGTAGACAAATGTTAAAGATTTTAAAATGCATTTAAGGATTAGTTTTGTGTTTTAAACCTAGTCGAGCCAGACACTCGAGATTACGGTACAAAAATACTTTTTGTACACCCAAAATGGTTCCAAACCGCGTGCTTCCTTGTTCGTCGTGTCGGCAAGCTAAAGTTCCACATTAACTACATACGTTGCAGCTCCGCACTCGTCCTACAGTGAAAGACTTCCCAGACGTTTGCTGAAAAGCGTTGCAGAGCAAATAGGTTATAAGTCATGAATTTATAAGTTTGTCGGCTTCTCTAGACAAAAAGTCTAATAAATTAACTCTGAAATTGTCATTACATTTAAGATAGGTAACAGGCCAAGTACAACCGCGCATTAATATCTGTACATAAAGGGAAGAATTTGTCAACTGATATGTAGTAAAAACAGTATGATTCGTGAAAAACCCATTTTGTAAAACTTTACTTGTTGAACGGGCGAATTGAAACTTTTCTCAGAACTCTCTTACGTGTTTCTTGTTATCAAATTTTGTTCTACCAAAGGTAACCTGTAACCACTCGCTATCCTCCAAACTGTCAAGCCATTTACACATCACCATGATTTTTACTATTTAATTAAAAGTTATATGGTTATATAGAAGATTAATGAAGTTTTGTCCCATCATACAAATAACGAAGCTCATTGTTGTTTAGACCAATCAACTGAAATGCTAGGATCATCCGCCTTCGACCGACCAAACTGTTTTTACTTACTCTCCTCAAATCATTAAGATAGATTGGGAATATGTTTCAGGTTTATTTGAAACGAGCGAAATATTAACCCCCTGCAAAAGCTTTGTGGCGTTGTAAAAATGTCAGCCTTAACGCGATGACCGATTCCCGTTGAATGGTAATAAAGGAAGTTTTGATTTTTGCACGTCTACATTTTTTCCAACAAATATTTTAATTATTATATTATATATCATATATATTATATAATTAATTATGAAATATACGGTGAGATGACTGTTTTTCTCACCGCATTGAGTGTTTCGGGGGTTATATCTGTTAAGATTGCTATCCGTCAAAGGCAAACGCAAATATTGTAGAGGTCAGGGAGTCAGCCAGTCACTGTGGCCTGTACCAAGTTGATCGATATTAACGTGAGGCAATTGGTTTACGTCATTGATCTGTGATGAGTGAGCCTCTAAAGAATTGAACTTAATGCCAGTATCTTCAGTGGAACATTTTTCTGAATAAGTCGGTTACAGTACATTTCCATTGATCGTACTCAAAAGCCAGTCGCGTTTTCTCCGGGTTGTTTAGCTTTTGTAAAGTGGTCACTTTCATAGACATGTACACTAATTTGTTGATAAACTGCCTTTTAGTGGAGACCCATCTGAATCATAGCTGAATGCGTTGTTTGTGCTATTCTTCAACTGATTGTGATACCCACTTTTTAGTTGGTATGATATCCGAAACCTCACAGTATATTCCCATGGAGGAGGCTACTCATAAGATTGCCCAAAACAATCCAGCAGTCCACGACCGGTTTAGCCCTTTTTGGGTCTTATTAAGAGGGCGCAGTCCAGGAGTTTCCTTCAACCATATCTTGTACTTTCACCAGAATAGCATGAAATTCGACAACTACACTCATTAGCACACCAACCTGGTTTTTACCTGCTGGGGAGTCACCTGACATCCAGCTGAATCTTCAGTCTACAATAGGCCAACAGGGGAGGAGAACTGGCATTGATGTTTACCGTGATTAGTTTATTATTCCTTCTCTTGTTTTTAGACATTTTACAACGCCATTAAAACTAATAGTAATAGATCTACTCGATCTAACTGGAATTCGAAGGTAAAAAACATGAAGGAAGAGTAAGTATGGAACAAAAAGAAGCAAACATTATACTAAATTTGATAGTTTTAAGCTCATGGGCACTTTATCTAGTCTGATGCGTAGGCTTGCAAGCAACGAAAGAATCATTTTTCAATAAATTATTGAAGAGAGTGAATAATCTAAGGTAGAGTATGATGAATGCTGGCTACTCAACAAAGTTCGTCGAACGCCATATGTTAGAAATTGAACATAAAAACATCTTCATTACTTATCGATAGGAAGCCAGTTTTGATTAAGTCACTTTTTATTGGTCATCGGTCGCCTGGTATTTCGTCCCAAAAGCACTATCCGGCATCATTGGCAAGCAAACTCCAGCTCCGTACCAGTCTATTTGATAGGCTCCTGTCATAGTTTATAATTGTGTGAGATTGCAGGTAATTTATACGAAAAAAGTTACTTTTGATAGCAAAAATAATGTTTTATGTGTGGCAAAATTTCCAGAAAACGCAATTATTTATGTGGCAGGTTCACTGATGATACGACAGGGCAAACCAACCAGTCTGGTCCTGTCACAGTAGTCTTTTTCTGCGGTGGGTCGTTTCATTATTCCTAAATGTTATTTTTCAAGAAGAATATTCAAATAAATTGATAAAGTGGATTTCTTACGTGTAACCTTGGAAACGGATGCTGAAAGCGACGATTTTTTTTCTGAGTATATTGACTGATTGGTCATTTCTGTATTGAGTTGCGTTGACATTTACTACCGTACAATGAAACGCATAAGCGACTTTGAAGAAAATTACCAACAAAAGATGGATTTCTAACAAACATACAATGCAATCGAAATAAAAAAGACAGTCGTTTCTGGCTTCAAACAAAATTTTGAAGGTCTTTTGGCCTCGTCTTTGAAGCAGTGACGTGCATGTCCAACAGTGAAACATGCTGAATGGACTTATTTAATCTGTGACAAAAAGGAAATTTGAGAAAATTCATTTATTTATAAAAGAATGCACAGAAGAGTGGAAAAGAATTGCCAAATGCATGAAAAGAATTTCCAACCACTGGGGCTTACCTATTAGAATGGAAGAAAATAGAATCTAGCGGGAGGGATAAACTGTCAAACTTCTAGGAGGATATCAACTCTGACAGCACAGTGAGGAAAATCATATAGAGTATACAGTTGGAGGATCTGTGACAACTGGTCATCGGGAATCCATTATTGGTTTAATGCAGACTATCTTAAGGGGCTTCCCATAGGCAAGAGTTTTTTGTAAATTGGCCTTTTTCCAAGCAAGGAAAATAGCATAGTTGACGCAGATAAAACTTCTTATCAATTTTTCACACGATTGTTTGGTTTCTCTGTTGATATAAATTTCATATAATTCACTTTAATCCATTTTAGAAACGTCCCAGTGCGTCTCATTTTAACACCCGCAAGTAAGAGACGGCACGACTGTTGCGGCAAAATGGAAGACACAACTGCATGCTTGTGGATTAATGTGAAGTATTTCTAAGAGTTTTACAGAATGTTTTAGATCAGTGAAACAGTTGGTTCTCATAAAGTATCATGCAATCTCCCAAAATGGACTGTAAGCTTGGGCTAGTTACTCCTGCCACTGGAGATTCAAATGTTTTCGGAGCACTAATCATCGGACTCTGCAAACATATTTATGGATTTTGGTGGCGAAACTGGAGTTCTTTCCTTAATTAAATATTGTGTCTCAATAAAATTTATGATACGATGGAAACGGACGAGGATCGGTCAAAGTTTGACCGACACTTGTTCAGCGTTCTGGCAGAATGTTCTCATGTGACCAAGCAGAACAACTGTTTAAGGTGAGTGAAATAAATTAAAAGAATTGCCTCTGTGAAACACATTCGCACTGGAGGCCTTTTATCAAGGGCTCTTGCAGCGTTGGAGATTTTCCGTTATAACGAAAAGATAACAATCTTGGATTATACCCATGGAGTTGAGAAAAACAATGATTTTATCAAGAGTATTTGTGACCGGTCGCCCGTTGGTAACTGGTATTTGTTTGACCTCTGTTTTCAGGCCACCAAAGTCCAAATAAAATGGTGCAGGTAGTGGGGATGAAGGTGTCAGTGAATACAGCTTTCCGCGAAGAAATGTAGACAACATGTAAACCCACCGGCCATTACGAAACAGACAAGGGTTTTTCTACTCATCTTTTGAATAAGACGAACAAAACGAAAACAACGTAAATAACAAGGTATTTTGATGCTCGTCTGCTGTTTGTTACAAAGTCTTTCGTGGAATTTAAATGATTTCTGTCTAATTTGTAAACAACTGGAGAACTGGCTTCTACATCAAAAGTTTAATTGCCTCAGACAAACAAACAAACGTGCGTCCTTTTAAAATGCTAATTTCTTGAGGAACAATGAACCAAACTGAATCAAACATTACCACACAAAGTAGAACGTTTCAAAATTTTGAACTGCAACAATTTCCTCTTGTTTGATTAAAAAATAAAATCCGCCATAGCAAAACATATGTTTACGACCTCTCACCTCCTGATAAACTCTTTTGCAACACTAAGGTGATTAGGCTGATCGGGAATACACCGGTCTTGAATTCATATGTTTAACAGGTTCAGTTACATGGAGATAAAAGGCACCAGCATGGAAATCGTTTTGGGCTTGCAGGAAAAGAACCCGTCGCAAATTAGGAGAGATGTGTTCTCGGCAAATTTTATTGATTTATTACAAACAGTATATTTTGTATGTTAAAATTTTCAAATGGAATTTTTCAAAAATTTATGACATCCTTGAGTCGATATGGATAAGTCAAGAGAAAAAAGTTGCAGTACATTTGTGGTTAAGGTCGGTCAGTAAAATCATCCTTCAAACTACGTTAGATCTTATGGATCACTTTTGAAGGTATTTGGCCGGAATGCAAACCTATCTGTTCTAGGTGACGCTTCTACTGACAGATAGGGGTTGCCTTAGCCTTTCGGTCATTGCGACTGAAAGTTTTTTCATGGCGCTAAAGTGGTTTGGTGGTATTTGGTAGACCATCCTGAGTAGTTTGGCCGGATAATTGCAGATTTAGGTATCGATCAGTTAGGTGGAAATTTCATTGATTACATAGTGAAATTATCTGTCCTAGTGGAATACATGCGTGATATTTTGCTACCTACTGATGTATATTTCATATCAAAATATACGAAAGAAAACGTCTGAATCCGTTACCAAAATGCGAACCTTCCAGGTCACAAACTTATGAATTTCCTTGATGAACATTCTGGTTTCCAACAAGTTCCTTGTCCGTATTCCTCTTTTTCGGCATAGCCCTGCTCATTAACGTGGAGTAAGTGAAGAGTCATCATCACCGTAAGTTATATTGGTGCTGACTACTGTCAGTTACGTGACATAATTATTTATGTTTTCCTGTTCCTTAGATCAATTCATTACCCTTCTGATGGTTGCTCAGTTTTCAAGACTGAACTACTCTATTTAATACAAAACCAACTCTATATTATTCAACTCTATATATTACTGTACGCTCAACGGCCAACCCACCGCTACGCACCAATACGCTCACCAATAACGCACTGACGATGTCACCTCGATTGTTGATTAAAAGTTTGCAATCAAATTGCCCAGATCAGCGAACAAGCCAACGGCTATCTACGCTATCTTGGCTACCAACATTTTCCTCTATATAGAAACTGTCCTTCTTTATTAGCCTGATTTATCCACATTCGTCTCTGGGTTCGTTGTTGAACATTTTGCTCCACTTTGAACTGCACGACATTTTGGCACACTACCCTTTCTGTGCCATCCAGTTATCTTAACTGCCCAAGGTTTAATTTAGCCGTAAGCCTTTCTTTAAATCCGCCCCTTATTTGCTGTTAATTTCTTATAGAACCACTGTCTGCGTATATAGACTGCCTGCCCACGTCTGATTCAATATATTGTTTGCGGCACATTTACGACTACTGAACAAACGCGGGTGAAGTTCTTTGAGTACGGTTACGCCGTAATTATTACTGTCCGTCCGTCGTTGAATCGAACTACACAGCACATGCCTGGTAGGACGCCTAGATCATGCGTTAAGTTCAATTAACCAGTTACTTGTCTCGAGATCACAACCTTAACAGAGGATTGTATAACTCCCTTATACCACGTAATAACTAGAACTGAGTTCGAGAAAGCTTGAGTAGTTGTCAAACCTTGTGCGAATATGGACGACTGGAGTAAACCGCAGACGTTTTATAAACTTTGCTGTATCCATATCCAAGGGAGAGTCTGCAGACCCTAGTTTTTTATTTTGTAAATGAACTGCTAAAACGGCAAGCTGGTACATGGGTTCTGAAATGACTACAACGCGCGGCTGGTTTTGTTTCATTAGGCGAAAACAAAACTTGAATTACAAGAACTCAACGAGAACTATTCAGACAGTTTACCATTCTCACTAAGCGAAATACCCACTGCTGTTTTTGGGGCAAGAACCTTTCGATGAGCGAGTTTAAAGCCCGAGTTCACAACAATTTATTAAGCGAAAAATTTGCCGTACTACAGAATGCACTTTTGTTCTTCTTATGTTGATAGACAATCTTTCCCTTGGATCCCTGTGAACCGCGTACTGCCGAGTGGCTTCAAACTGGTAACGTCTCTCATAACTTTCAAAATGCCGATTTTAATGAAGGAGTAATCTATGGTATACGGAATTCTACTATTGCAGTAGGATTCCTTGTGACTTTCAGCTCATGTCAGGTTTGAGGTTCTGGGAAAATCTCACAGACTTTCATCGAACTTATATTCCTGTGGTGGCAATAATGTCTACTGTAAATGCAGAAAGCTCTTAGCAGCAACAACTGAATGCGGTAAATTTGTTTATAGCTACTTCATGGATCCAACTGAATAGTTTACAGTGGACGTGTACCATGCCCATGGATAAATCTTCTATTACAAATGCGGTGTTTTGCTAATTTGCACTCAATCACAAGCTGAGTAATGTGCATATCTCTGCTGCAAATTGTGAGAGGAATGGATATTTCTTAACCATCACACTTAGTAGCAGATGAGTTTCAACGAAATAATTCAACGAAATAATTGCCGCAAACACTGTGACCAGAGAAAACGGAGAGAATACGCATATGCTGGTATTACGCGTAAGGCAAAAATCTGTTATGGTCACTTGTGGACACAACAAGTTTATCCTATAATAGGATAGCCGCTCAGCTTTTCAGTTCAGCATTAGGTGTATCATATATTTGGAATACACGAGGCGCAGTAAGGAAGTTGTAGGGAATCAATTACGACCAACATTAAATGTTATATGGCAATCAGTGGCATCTATCAAAGAAGAAGAGTCCAGATAGCAATCCGAGAAAATGGAAAGTGTTTTGCAGTAGTCTAGTCAAGAATTCACAGTCATTTGTGGTGTAAAATACGATTTCTAATGTAGGAAAACGTTTTTAAAAACAAATTTTCCCATATTTACAGTTGTCGGTGACTGATTTTCCTGTGACTAATTCCGCCATACAATTGGCGAAAACACTACGGTTACCCGGAAGTGTTTGCGTGTGATGGAGTGTTCCGCAAAAATTCCATACATGGCCCAAAAACTTATGTGGTTTGATGGCATGCGGTTACCAAACACTGGCTCCTCACCAACGTGGACAGATTTCAGAGAGTCAAAATGGGTTATGAAAACATTGGATAGCAAACCTCATGTAAAATGTAATAAGACATACAGCAGAACAGCAGAAATGTGATTGGCTCTGGATTTCGCCTCAGTATATCTTGATATCGTTTCATATTTGCTAAGCATACAAAATGATGTTGTATTATTCTAGTGTTGAGTAAATTTGAACTGGCCGTCCCGTCTATCTTCGAACATTTCACAAAAGCTTGGAAGCCGATGACACTAATAACTGAGAGTTTAAAGCTTAAGTGATTGAACAGGGAGGGGAAATCTGTTGACAGTAGTTGCCGTTTCGGCAGCTGCTGCCTAGAACAAATAATTAGCTCGGCCGTTAATTTTGAGTAAAATAAATGTCGCAAAACTATCGCAACGCACCAAATGTGGTTTCTCTGGCACTGTTTATATACAGGTTTGTTAGGGCATAGAAGCACCGCGTGGTGTTTCTTCACAAAATTCAGATTGCTAATTACCCAACAAGTAGTTTCCGTAACACAAACTTCTTGTTTTGTAGTTTGGCAGATTTTATGGAACCTAGCTATATCCGTCTTCCAGTTGCGAAATGTGTAGGCCTTGTATCTACAACACCGTTTACGACCTACCAGCCGCATAATTTGAGTGCATTTTTCGCATAGTCACCATCAAACTGGGAAACATTAACGGCGACCTCACAAGACCACGGAACAAATACTGTGGTGTGCGGGACACTGTAGTAGCATGTCAACAGGCTTTTATTTGCGGCGATGAAATTTGGTTCTGGTATTTAGGTTTCAGTTTCACACGAACTGGCCATGTGTGAGTACCATTACCTTTAAATAAACCGCTTATTGCTTCGCACACCACGCGAGCTCTTGAGTTCCAAAAATCGCCTAAAATGAAATGCCCAATACGCTGAACCGAAATGCGTCACTAACAATGTTACCATCTGAAGACTGGGAAATTTAAGTGATGTGTAATTCTATCATTGTTTACGACGACAAGATAAATACCGTGATATCCGAGACACCTAGCTGCGAATTATATTCTACAACTGTTGTGGTCACCAATTCAGTACCTTTGATGTTGTGGAAGTAGAATTTCAGACAAGTGAGCAGTAGGCTAATCGTTAGCATGATCCACTACTCCAGACGCATTAGAAGCTTTTGTGTGGGTGTTTACGATTCATTTCCTTATTACATGTTGAAAACTGATGACAAACTTTCTCTAGTAGTGCAACTCTTTGGTCATTTCCTATCTAAAACTTGAGGCTCTAGTTCTCACACATTCTAAGCTTCACACTGTAACTTCATCGATTTTTTGTGAAAAGCAAATCCCTGAACTCTGATTAGGAAACGGTAATTAGCGGTTAAGCGCTCGATTTTAACTCGGTTTGCATGGCCACCTTTTACGAAAAGGTGGATGCTGCTTTTGAAAAAAAATTGGGTACAATAAAATATGAATCTCAGACTACTTTCTGTTAAATAGTGTGCTTGGTTAAACGTACAGTAATCTGCCAAAACGGCTTCATTCTAGCGAGTGGCACGTTATTATTAGAGAAATCTGTTCGGAAACTAATCATCAGGAACACCCTAATACCCGGATTATTGTTTATAATCGCTCAAGCTGGGGCCTACTGTTTGTACATTACAGCTACTTGGCGATTCTGATTCGACCTGATTCGTTGTCGTTACCTAGTGCTGAAGCGTTTTGGAGTTAGGAAGAATTGCGCAGCTCTGATGCGTGCCGATGCAAGTCCTAGAGGAAATCATTCGGTGCTCATTTTTCACTCCTGTCAGATGCCTCATCGGTCGTCTTTATACACTAAATACACTCGAGAAAGTAGCCTTCTGTACATCTCACAAGAGGACATAATTATTTGACCCGTACTTAGGATGGGATAATAAAGTTTGAATCATAGCTGGAAAAAGGAAATTATGACTTATGAACAACTTGCCGCAAACAGGGCCAAACGGAAGTGGACGGCATTTGGCACTTTTTATTCTGACGACCCTGGGAGAGAACGAATGGCTACCGCCCCTCGGAAAAAAATGGAGACTATGTTATGACGCAACTGGACACATCAGCACTAATGAGGCTTTGACATTTTGTTTTTTTTCGTTTTACTAGTGGCATGCATTCACAATGTGAGTTCATTAGGTGGCTGACATATGATGCAAGTAAGCCGGTTAGGCATCTAAGCGTGAAATTGCTGCTTCTGCGTAGCATAAGCTGCACGAAAAGGCAAATTTTCTATCATCGGAACCTTGAAGTGCCTTGGATACTGTTTGGGCAAACTGTTAGGTGGGACGTAGTTAGACTGAAAAACCAAAAAGTGCATCGGAATCGGGAAACCCGTTGGTTGCTGCATTCATTTTTGCACCGGTTTGTACAAGGACCCTACCCCAAACAGTTTTTCGCTGGTACAGCATTCATTAGTGCGTAGCCTTAATAGTAACTTAATGATTCACCCGGAGAGATGAGTATTTTCCCATGGATTCCTTTTCGGATCAAGTCCCGTCTTTGTTGATGCAACTTCTGTGTATCAGAATAAGGATGTAGCATATTTAAGTGATTTTTAGACCTTTAAGTTTTGACCGACGACCAACCGCTTGTTCATTAGGTGCCTCGGCAGAAATGGTGTGCAAAATTAGTAAAATTCAATACATCTGGCAGAGATAACTTAGACGAGACGCAGACATCAGGGATGTGAATCAAACCACAACCTCCGCAGTGCTTAAGGAGAGACTCCAAGCTGAAATGTGTTGCAGCTCACACAGGTGCACTTGAACTACACAAGCGTTTGTATGCTTGGTGCATGCAAGCCTGTTTTCTTGCTTCCATCAATTTGTGTCTAACTGATAAAACAATCATCCTGACAGATCCGACTGGATTTTCAAAAGCGGTGCATGTGTGTGTTACAGATCCTATATTATCAACACATCAGACATCCACCTTTGTTAAGCACAAGTTTTCAATGTTACATTTGTGTTATATTCACGTACCTACATTAACCCTGCAAGGGACTAAACTTTGTAGCAGCAGAGCGCTGAAAGATAAGCCTTTATGAAGCAGTCCATACAAGGAGCATGCACTCTAGGTCCGTGGCAAACCGTTTCCACATCTAGAAGATACATGCTATTCAGAAGCTAAGTAGCATCGCTTAAATTGATGTTCGTTGAAAACATTTACATGGTTTGCGTTCTACACAAGACCTCCTTCACTGTATTCACAGAGTAGTTCTCAAAATGTGGCACATGTTTTGTCCGCCCGAGCAATCCATAGAAAGGTCATCACATCAGCCACGGCTATATCGTCTTTGCCAGTACAACCCCACGAAATGGCCTTGGCAACCGATAACTACAAGGAATTTGTTCTTTTTCATGTCACTCGCCTAATTCTAAGAACTGATGGCACTGGGGTGAACACTTGCAAGACGGCAATCGTAGAAAATGAAAAGTGTGACATGGGGGTTTATCCAGTGATACCGTTAAAAAAGAAATAGTATTATACAGTGGACACAATGATATACCAATGTCAGCTGTTGAATTCATGCTAAAGGATAATGATAATGTTCGCATTAGGGCAGAAGCACCAGTAACATGACCAACGTGCATCGGGACAAGATAAAGCGATAGAGTTTTATTATTCTGTGAGAAAAGACCTTAAATCTTTTGACTCACATTAAATGCATTTCTATTTGTTTTATTTGAGAATCAGTCAATGCGGTAAGCAACCAGCCAGAATTTTATCTTCGTGTGAGAAAAGATCTCAAATCTGTTGACTCACATTAAATCAATTTCTATTTGTTTTATTTGAGAATCAGGCGATACGGTAAGCAACCAGCCAGAATTTTATCTTCTAAATTCACTAACGAGTTCATTTTTTGGTATTTACCATAAACGAACCGTGCATAAATTCTCAGGTATTTGATAAAATTTATTAGAGCTTCCTGGGGATTTTTTATCCACAGTAATGCACTTGAGGTACTTTCTCTACCCTTTTGGCGTTTGTATCTTATAATATCCATCGAAAAAACCATTATCGCATAATAAAAACTCGCCTGAATATAGCGCCAATTGTTATGTTTATCCGTTAGTTGACCCTGAAGAGATAAAACTGTAGCTCCAGGAGACACTCCACTGACACTGTTACCAGGTGCCATCAATCCGCCTAGGTAATCTGCTAATGGCATGCTCAGAGCAGGAGATCAGAATGTGAACTTTCAGCTTGTTTAAATTTTCGCGGATACCCTGGGGGTATTCGCATATATTTCACATTCTTCTTGCAATTGACCGTGCTTTTACGGTTTTTATCCCAACATGTACTGAGCGCATTGGGCTAATATAACCACCACTCTGTATGCTTTTCGGCTATGTTTATGAATGCTATGACCCCATAGTTGTGCGAATTCATGGTAGTGGAATGACAACAGCCATCTAACTTGAGCATCAGTTTTACAACCTCGGGCCACTTGGATGTCTTTCTAATCTAGTGCCATCGCCCAATGAGCCGTCGACTAGCCTTCAGACCTCTTATTTTAATTGATATGGGACAGCCAATCAGCTATGACGCGTACTTGTTAACCTAATATCAGCAGCTCAGGACCAAAGTGAAAGAGCGTCTGCCATTGCTCCACATTTACCTCTGGAGCATCGGCAAAAGCATTTTTATATATCATCTGTGATACCGTTGGTTAGTAAAGTTTCTAATTCACAGAATGATTACACCATTTTGGTCTTCAGTTCACAAAATAGTCACTTACAACCATTCAGCTCGCTCCTAAAACTTTGGAAAAAGAAGTCAAAAATCTTTACGAATAAATTCATGGCTTCACACTTCCAAGATTTTGCCTCAAAGTTTCTCGGCATGTTAGGCTTCGTTACTTAAATAATTACCGTCAAAAACCATAGGAGCCGGTTACTAAAAACCATAAATTATGCCCGCTTTTTGCGTGTAATTATCAAAAAACACGATCAGTGTGAAATTGTTTATCTCTAAACTTGTACGCATTTCGGGAGCGCGCCGGGGTTTTCCTCACAGAAACACTTCCGACAAATTAGATTATTGGTAGAAAGGCTTAAATGCTATCAATTTGTGAAAAACAACCCATGGCCGGAAGGTTTGGTGAAATTAGAGAAATTTATATAACCATCTGTGCACATCGTCAGACGGGCTCACTGTGCCGTTCAAGTGTCCCTGGCGGAATTAGTGAGCCAACGCTATATGTTGGGTACAGCCGGTAGGCGGAATCATGAACGTTGGTTACGACGACTGGCGTTCATAATAATGACCCCAGTCTTAAATGCTGATATATCAACAAAAACATAAGTAGGATGAATAGAAAGTAGGTTGGGATAAATCAGACTGTGAAAGTGTAACATGAAAAGCACATTAAAGCAACATTTAGCGGAAGCGCACATGTCACTAAGGTCGCCAGGCTTTGGATGAAATGCAGTGTTAGAATATCGGTACCGTGGAGGTGTCAGTTTGCTGCTGATCAGGTGGCTGTTAATGTGCTTGCCGAGCTGGGCCATTTCGTTGCAAATGCTCCGTCACGGCTGGGTAGGCAATTCTTAGATATTTCTTGCGTCTCTAAAAAGCACACGTTTTCTCTAATGTAACCGGCTAGTTGAAAGTCATCTCACTCATGAAATGAATGGTTTGTCCGCGAACTTGGTTGCGCTAAATATTTTTTCTTGCATTTGATTGCCTCATTATGTTCCGCCCATTTTTTTCCATCTACTCCTCTTTATGACTGACCAGCGTGCGATTGGTGGTGCATTAGGCTCGCCTTTCTGTCTTTTGATTGGTCATTTTTTATCATCTATTTATGATTACATGACAATTTATTTTGATGCGCTCTTTCAAAATCTGCGCCCTGAATTATTGCATCTTACTGATTGTTTGTACAGGGTTCTATCTATTAAGTCTACTTTTTAAACTGTTTTCATTTAAGGTTGCTATTATTTGTCACGTTATTGTTTATACTTACTACTTCTGGTTCAACTGTTTGTCTGTTGATTCTGGATTTGACTCATCATATGGTTCGTACTCTGAGGAAGTTCTAGACCGCCTGTCCTGGGAATATATCAGTAAATTACCATAATCTGTATATTTGCGTTTCTTTCTCTTCTTGTTTGACCTAATGTGTTCACATCGGACTCGGCTTTTTTCCTAGTCCCATGTTAAAGCCATGTGGTCAAATCTGTTTTAAGCGACATTAAATCGGCTGGTTTAAGCTCACATTGTACCATTGGGTTTCTCAAGAAATAGACCGAAAATTGGTTTCCAAAACAAATGAAAAAGGTTTTGATTTCATTTTCAGATCGCAAGGTTTATCCAAGTCAGTTAAGAATTATATTCTCGAGGAACTTTGTTTTGAGCCCACCTAAAAACTAAATTGTGAGAGCTTTGGTGGTTACTTGAGGTGAGCATCACGCACCGATTCATTTTTGCGTGAAGACTAAGTTTTTTTTCTATCATTTGACGCTTGACGTCAATAATCAACCGTAAAATAAATGCAGCTTAGTATGCACTCCATAAGACAAATTTCACTGTCAGCTATTCACGTAGACTAACCGACTCCTCAGTTGCAAAAAACTGGACTTAACGGCGCGCAAGTTATTTACTGATGAACTAATTTGGGAGACCGCTGATAAATTTGTCGCTATCCGACACGTTGCCATTGACGTGAAACTAGGTATGTTGAAACTCTAATGGTGTGTAACGGATAAGTGCACGCCTGAGGCTAATAAAGAGGTAGGAGGATAATGGTGTTTGAAAGTCGGTCTTCCTCAAACAGCCAGGTTAACTTTTGGCGCCGATTCCATTTTTTCTGTAAGACTTGTTTTGTAACGCAACTGCTTTACTGATATCGTACTTTGTGCTGGAGTATGGTTGAATTATTTTCTGCTTATTTCTGTACATATAAGCTTAATATAAATGGGATTTGTTTGGAATTGTTATTTAATTCGCAGTACTTTGCGGTCATACTGTCGCTGAATTTAAACAAAATTTGACTGTCAATGTTCTTTGAATATTTCTGCGTTGGAAGCTGCAGATCTTACATGGATACAAAAACTGTAACATTCGTGGACACAAACGGCAATGGGGGTAGGATTCAACGTTAACCACGCGTGAATATCCACGAAACGTAAAATGGAGCACTGGTCTGGTG